CTCACACACACTCTCACACACACTCTCACACACACTCTCACACACACACTCTCTCTCTCACACACACACAAACAAACACACACACTCTCTCTCTCTCTCTCTCACACACAACACACACACTCTCACAGACGAACCTCTCGAATCTTCTCCACCGCTAGCGTGAAGATGCAAAGAATGACGACCCATTCCTGAGGAGATGGAAACGGCTCCATTCGCACCAGCACCACGTATGAATACAGCATCAGGAAGCCGATGTAAAAGAGCTAGAACACACAAAACACCGCATCAGACTGAAGACAGATCTCCTCATGATCACAGACTCACCTGCCGTCACACTCAAGGCCTGCATTATAGAGTTTAGAGTCATTAGACACTAACACTAGAGCACGGACCAATCACAATCACAAGAATAAGACAATAAACACTCGCAGTATTTAAATCAGGTGTCTACAAAATGCTGTTTATTTTTTTCTCAAATTTTGACTTTTTCTAGGTTCTGTTTATGATTTAATACAAATGTATCAAAAAAAAGGTGGGAATCAAGTGAATTTATAAAACTGTAACTTAATATTTTAAAATGTAATCAAATGAAAAGAACAATTCCATTGTGTGTCAAATAAAGAGGTGCACAAGAGAGATTTATTGTTAAAACATGAAATTAATCTCTTGATTGTATTTCTCTATAAAAATTGTAATAAATTAATTTTAATCAATTGAATAAATTCTTTAATAAATTCCTTCGAGAAGAACCTTTTACAATTCAACAATAATATATTTCTGCCATTATTTCATATCATCATTGGTTTTGTATTGAAGAGCTTTGAGTTTCCGTGTGTATCTGATGAACTGAAGAGCCATTCTTTTGATCCATTCAAATTCTGTGAAATTGTGCTTTATACAGTAAGCTTTATTTTTTATGACTGGATTCTGTGATTCTGTCTGCTATGATTGCGCAGTTGCTCCGGAATGGCTTACCGCTGGTGAGATCAGAGAACGGTAATGATTCAGATCACAAACACAAAACAATCATTAGTTGCTTTTCTGAAAATCTTTAATTGTTCATCAACACTTTCACATCAAACCCTTCAGCTTCTATCAGAAACAACAGATGAATGATCAACCGCTGCCACACACACACACACACACTCACTCACTCACTCACACACTCACACACTCACACACTCACTCACTCTCACACACTCTCTCACACACTCTCACACACTCTCACACACACGCTCTCACACGCGCTCTCTCACGCGCTCTCACACGCGCTCTCTCACGCGCACTCTCTCGCGCACTCTCACGCGCACTCTCACGCGCACTCTCACACACGCACGCACTCACACACACTCACACGGGTCTGGTTGAAATGTCACTAGTGAAACTTCCACTAGTCCCGTGATGTTTATCAGTGTGTAACGCGGTGTGTTTATGCAGGAACAGGTGTCTCTGATATTATCACATGGGAACAACAGCCCAGAACACTTGAAGTGCTGGAAATCACACTCGCGCAGCGTGAGAAAGGAGCCGTACGTACCGTGTTGAACCAGAACTTGACGATCGGTGCGTGGTAGAAGGCGTAGAACTTGCGTGTGATGGGTAACCGGCGGGAACGCACATGCACCTCCGTCTCATTCTTCACATCCGCGTTGTCATTCATACGGACTTCCTTAAACACATCCTGACAGAAACACAAACTCTGTCAATCTGTGCCAGTGCCATTGTGCAAGAACACTCAAAAACACACGCTTGTGTAAAGATTGACCGTTTTCTGGGCATCGGTGATCAGAACAGCGGCGGAGGCACGTTAGCACACTTCAAGCATGTTTAATACTTCATCCGCACCATCTGGATATCGTCAGGGTTCTGCAGGTAGTGCTCGCTGTCCTCCATGCTCTGATGAGCGTCCTGCGACTGGGGAATGTGGGACATCTCCGCTTTGGTCTTGTACTCCAGCAGGAGGATGGCAGGAGGAACCAGGATGCTCAGGATCACCTGCACACACACACACACACACACACACACACACACACACACACACACACACACAGACACAGACACAGACACACAGACACAGACACAGACA